GTTTCTCATAGCGGCCAACCAGATGCTACTAGAAATCCAACAGAACGTCTTAGAGGTAATGCTGTTATAACAACTGTTCTTCAGAGGCATTGTATCTCTGAACCCAGAGACTCCATATAGCCATTGTGACGAGTAGCAGCTGATAGCTTCCTCCTGCATCTGTCCAGGTGCTCTTTACAGACCATCTAAACTAGAAGCCATGCCCATGGCTTTTAGGAATAAAATTCCATCAATTGATTTAGGGCTGACAAATTAATCTCTTCACAGATGACTCTATATTATGTGCACTGAAACAGGAAGAACGGCCATTTCAGAAGGCGGAGATATGAAAAAGTCGGCCAGTCTGAGTGGGGACAAGGCAACACCAGCAGTCCTTATGAATTATTTCTATACTGCCCTCTGTGAGCAAAGCAGGTTTCCTGTCTGGTTCATCTTAGCATTTGTTTGGTGTTTTTGGTCAAGGCAGCAGCAAGTAGAAATCGTGATCTGACCACTGCCATACCAAAAAGAACCAAAGTGCCAAATATGAAGTGCAAGTAGGGGTGTTGCCTCACAGATGACAACAGCTCAAGGTTTAAGTGTGCCATTGCTAAATGGTACTAAGATAAGAGCCCTGGCCAATCAGTCTGGCCCTTGCCTTTCACATACAGAAATCTACTGTCTTGACAGTTAAAAGCTATCTGAACACCCATTATAGGATATCATTCTCGCCTGCACTTGAGGGCAGCAACACTTAAGGGATGCAACACTGATAGTACCCAGCACATATAGTTTAGATTTTCGTTGTGCTGCCACTACTCTACCTCAACATTTGCCACCTGAGGCCCTAGCTTTACTCTGTCTAATGTCAAAGCTAGCCCTGCCACTACATATCCCATTCACTACCTGCAGACAGGACAAGCTTGGACTTGTGTGTGAAGAAGTAATTTCTTTTGTCTGTGTGGGTCTTTTGCTAATCATTTTTACATGAGAAATAAAGTAGGATGAAAAATGGAACAAATCTGGTGAATATTCATTTTCTCCATCTCATATATATGATTAAAAATTCTGTGTTATAACTACATTATAAATGGTTTTATCACACCCTCCCACTCCCCCCACTCTGCTTATATTGTCTTTTCTATAGAGTGGTGCTTCGCATAGCGATTGCTCCGTTTTACAACGAAATCGCTTTGCGATGGACTTTTTGCCATCGCAAGAGCGATCGCTTTGTGATGGCCCCTATGGGGAAAATTCACTTTGCGATGTTCACGGGGATGCGATCATCACAAAGCCCCCATTTTCGCACAGCTGAGCGGCGGGGGCTTTGCGATGATCGTGGGGATGCAATCATCGCAAAGCCCCCGCCAACCAGATGTGCGAAAATGCGGGCTTTGCAATGATCGCTTCCCCGCGATCATCGCAAAGCCCGTGTTTTAGCACAGCTGATTGGCAGTTCCAAAATGGCCGCCGGATAAACAAAATTGCCCCCCGCTGTTTTGCCTCGCTTTAGAGGCACTGAAAATGGCCGCCCCTATGGAGGATCTTCGCATAAGGTCAGTTTTCAAGCCCATAGGAACACATTAAACACGTTTTAATGCGTTTCTATGGGCTTTTAAAAATCCCTTAGCGACATTTTTCCTGGAACGGATTAACGTCGCTTAGCGAGGCACCACTGTATAAGTAAAGTTCCAGATATTGCAGCTTCTTCTCACATGTAAATTCATCAGAACTGATCATTTTTATTGACTCTTCCTGCATCTTTCCAGCTTTAATCTCTCTTTCAGACACAGCAATCAGAACTGCTGATCTGAAGTACACTTGCTTCATACGTTTACAGAAAATTTAAAAAAGCAGTCGTTTTAACCAGCTGTCAGCAGTCGTTTTAACCTCTGAAGATGCCAGCCACAAAGACTGGCAAAATGTTAGGAAGAACAACCTTCAGAACACGGCCAAAGAGCCTGAAAAACCCACAACAACCATTAGATCCCGGCTGTGAAAGCCTTCGCGAATGCAGAATGTATTTTCTTGCTACATAGTATGAGATCTTAGCCGGTTAACTTCATTATTTAACTAACTGACTAGTTACATAAACTCTTCACTCAGATTCTAACTGCTGATTTCATAACTGTCAAACTCTGACACTCAACCGAATCCTGACACGAAGTAAAAAAGGTGGAAAAAGGAATCTGAGGTAGAGAAGGAACAATTGGCTGCTACAGTGTGATTGACATACAACCTCAAAGTCCCTCCCATCTGAACCTCCTAAAGGCAAAAGATGAAGGTTACTATAATTCCAACAATTCTGATGCCAAATCATGGGCTCTCCATAGCTTTGAAAGAACTCATCACAGGAAAAATTGGGCAGCAAATCAGGCATGGCTATTTGGGCCCACTATAACTTTGAAGAGTATTGTTACAATTCATATGACACAGTTTTATTCATTTATTTGGTCTATATCCTTCTTCCTTCTAAGACTCTGACTCAAAGCAGCCTACAGCAGGATTAAAGGATATAGATAAAAAACATGCAAAACCATAATACTAATATGCAATTGGACAACTGGATTAAAAACAAATGAACTGCACAGCAATATATATATATTGCTGGCCAGCACCTGCCCATTATAAAGACCAGCACCTGCCCATTAAAAGCCCCTTCCTTAACCACAGGGATTCCATAAATCCCTCCTGACAAAAATGTGTTTGTAACAACACCAGTGAGGGAACCTTTGGAAGTGTGTGGGGGAGTGTCTACAAAGTGGGAACAGCCACTAAGAAAGCTACAGTGGGGTCTTGACTTGAGAACTTAATCCGTATTGGAAGGCGGTTCTCAAGTCAAAAAGTCTGTAAGTCAAGTCTCCATTGACCTACAGTGCATTGAAAACCGATTAATCCCGTAACAGGCCGTTTTTGTTCCATTTTGGTTTTTTTCTGGTCTGTTAGTCAAATCTCAGTCTGCAAGTCAAACCTAAATTTTGCGGCCAGAGAAGTCTGTAACTCAAAAAGTCTGTAAGTCAAGCCGTCTGTAAGTCAAGGGTCCACTGTATCTCATATTCACCACAGGTTCTTTCTGTGTTGACAGGACTGAGAAAAGCCCTTGCCCTAACATCTCAATTTTTTTTTGAAGAATCTGTACCACAATCCAGATAAGGAACGCTGCACACATGTAAACTGTTGAACCAGGAAATACAGATATAGATCAGATAAGAGCATCCAAAAGCACATCAACGTGAGGGGCAATGCCATCCATCAACATATAGTGTTTCAGTGGAACACACATTCAAATGTGCAATCGAATGTGCATCCTTCCATAGCTCTGTTCAGGTATTAAGTCTGAATGTGTACGGGTGTGGGGGATGTGGCAAGATCCAGCCATCATGTTCCTGTACCACATGACAGGCAGGCATTTGTGTATTCATTGCAAAAGTCTTCAGGGTCAATAACAAGCATATTCAGCTAAACATGCCTGTTGTGTTTCCATTGCCAGGTGGAGTTCTGATAACCTACACAAGTGGTGTAAAGTAAGGCTTACATGTAGGCCCCATCCACTGTCATAATTACAGCTCTACTGTCCTTTGAGGCTTATTGCCCAAATAGGCCCCACATTCCATTATACACAGTAATGTCTAAGTATCTTTCAAAATCATGACTGCATTATTTTGTATTCTTCTCCCCTTGCTATCCAAATGTTCATTTTTAAGAGTAAGGTGAGGTTTCAGTATGTATTGTGTTCTAAGCACCCACTTAAAAAATAACTTTTTCATACAATATAGGTTTGATTATTTGAATTTGGTGGACTTTCTCCTTCAGAAAAGGGGAAATTTTGTAAATACATGTGTGTACAGACATCACTGCATATCACAGTATTGGTGACAGCATGAATAAGTTGTAATGTGGCAATCTGAAGCAATCTGTCCCCAAACATGACAATAATTGCATTACAATAACATAGAATCCTAATAGTATTTTGTCCAAAATCTGGCAATGAGAAATACAAAATTCCTTGGGAAATGCTGATCTGCTTCTGCTAAGCCCAAGCAGCCACTAGATTCTGTAGGCTTTGCAGAAGCCATTAGGGGTGACATCAGTGAAACAGTCGAGCTCCTTGTGAGTCATTTTTAATTTTGCTGAACCTTTGTGAAAGCTGAAGTTGTCATTTTAGTTGACAGCAGGAATCTGATAATCAGGCTAACAGGAACTTCAGCTACGCTTATAGAAAATACAGAACCATAAACATTATTGGAATATTCAGAAGAATGTGCTGAAACTATGTGCTAATATGTTATGTGTCAACATGACATGTGCAAAAATCTGTAGAAAAGAATCAATCTTTTAACGCAATAGATTGCAAAGGTGGTTATCCAAATTCAGGGGTTACCAAATTAACCAGAGTTATCCTACTCTAGTGCTTGAGAGCCTGGACCTCCACCCAATATTAGATTAAAGTATTTCCTGCACAGAGAATAGACACAATTGTTCATAACAGAAATGTTTAATCATTTTACCAACATCTTCAATTTCAGATAATATATATGGGGACACAATTTAAACAGATGGAAAAAATAGTTCCCTCTACTGCTCGTTCTAGACACACACGGTTTGGATCCTAATTTTCTTCCCCATGTTCAGAAGCATTCAACTTAATGCTGATTTCTCATGTTCATCTTCTCTCCACAACCCCATGTCTCCCAAAAGCTGGCCCTAGAGCTTGTGGAGAGGGACTTGGAACTGTGTGTAATGTGGTATGATACATGTGAAATACAAGGTGGCAGAAACCAGCCTCTCCCATATGTGAGTGAAGGGCCAACTTAGGATCCAAACCAATACATTCATTTTAAAAAGAAGCCCCAACAATTTTCATTGAACACACTGTTTTCTGGTAATTAATCCTCACACCCAAGAATTCTAAAAGCTTGCTGTGAACTCTGCCCCAACGGTACAACTGGATTTAAGACTCTGTACACCAAATTGCCACTACAATACTTTTTTTTCCTCTTACGAGTAAGTTCATCCCCTACCTCTTTGTAGGAAGACATAATCCTTTCAATGGCATCTGCTCCAGAGGCCAATAAATTGCGAGAAGTAGTGAAGGTTTCTGTCCGCTCGCTGACCATCGCATGCTTCTGACCATCATCTAATTCTAAAAGCAAAACAGGAAACTTAAATGGAGCAAAAGGAGCATATAATATGGCAAGACAAAATTTCCATGTAAGAAAATGAGACCTACGTGAGCAAAATCCATGCTATGAAAATATAATCACTCAAACATGGATACCCTGAAAAGATTAATTCTATTTTCCCTCATCAAAGAGGGAAGACATGGGTCATCTATGGCTGGGTGGAACACTGAAGGGACCCACTCCACACTATTGCTCTTTTCTTCTAGGTTCCATGTACTACTGCTACATTCCAATATCAGAGAGGGATACATGATATCATACAGATGATACACATGCTTATGCAAGCCTTTTCAATTTATTAACAGAGAGCTCGAACAAACAAAAGAATCCCAATTATACTGATCCTTTTCATCCCTTTCTTATACTGATTCATTTTTTTCCAGTGGTCATGTGGTATATATATTGGTGGGAGTGTTGACATTGTTTAGAACTGTGTTGATTCATTACCTTCTATTTGAACTGATATAGCATGCTACGCTGCTCTTTTCTTTTATATCGATTCATTTTCTCTATACTTTCTTGAGGCAATCAGGCCTTGTCCTTTTTCGTTTTTAAATTACCAAAGGTGATACATCGATAGAGTGTGTGAGCCTTATATTCTCCTCCCCTTTTCCTTAATTCCATGTGTCTCTCCCTCTCAGTTCTTGACTTTCATGTTTCTTTTCCCTTTTGCACAGCATTGGGGAAAGGAAGTGGGTATTAAGTCTTGCAAAGTATTGTGAAGAGCACGTTAAAAAAAGAGATACGCCTCCTCCTTCTTTACAATTCAAAACAGGAAATGTCCCTTTCTTGGTTCAAGCCCGCTTTCACCTGAAAGGGAGGGCGTGGAGGGCTGTCTTCTGAGCAATGTTTGCTGTGGTGATGCTGCCAGAGGCTGTTATTAGAGATTTATCAATATCCCTTTTTTTTCAAAAGGTTTTTTTTAAGGGTACAAGTGCAGTGGCCATGAAGTGGCCATAGTGCCCAAAACCCGAATCCCTTTGCAAAGGAAATAAATTGACAGTAACATTCACACACAATGAAATGATAAGGAGTGAACTGATACATCACTACTACAATTTAAAACCACCTTCCCTGCAAGGAGGAAATAAACCAATTGCCAGGGCAAATGAATCTATGTTAGCCATGTGTCAGGTGAATGGAAAATTTTGAAACAATCCAAATAATGGCCAAAACAGTATAACTGGAACTGGGGTTCTTTTGACAGGTACAATTGAACCCAAATTAGTGTAAATCAATGAAATTATATCAGGTTGGGATTAACCCTGGATTTTTTTCTCCTTACAACATATATACAGTATGCTAGAAAAATAAAACACCATATCGCCCTTAGTCAGGAGAATAACAGAACAGCTGGCATTACAGCACATGTGGCTGCACATTCCACTTTTACAAAACAAGAGTGTCACTGATATTTATAGGAAAGAGCTAGATATATTTTAGAAACTGAAAATGACTTAATTTTTTCTTAATCACATAAATGTCTTGGCTTAGTCTTCACTTTACAATATCTGAGGACTGGCAGGAATATATATATGCTACATGTCCTCAGGTATTCCTAAAGGCAAATGAACGGATCAAACATGGATACAATTAGCAACCATCCGTCATGACTCCAATGGTTATTCTTCCAGTTGCAATTATCCAAAATTATTGCCAACTGTAGAAAACACCTCCTAGGGAAGAAAAATCTTAAAAAGAAAAAAAGAAAAAGTGTGCTGAAAGAAAAAAAACCCAGCATGATTTAAAGCTAAAAGTTATGGTTGAAGCTATGTCCCTAAAAGGAAAGAAATTCAGGCAGAGATCAACATTCCTAACTCAGTACATGGGAATACTGATGCATCTTTTTGTACTTTTACTAGTAAGGTAAAGATAAAGGTTCCACTTGACATTTAGTCCAGTCATGTCCAACTCTAGGGCGCGGTGCTCATCTCTGTCTCCAAGCCATAGAGTCAGTGTTTGTCCATAGACAGTTTCCGTGTTCATGTGGCCAGCACAACTAGACATGGAATGTCGTTACCTTACCACCATGGTGGTACCTATTTATCTACTCGCATTTACATGCTTTCAAGCTGCTAGGTTGGCGCTGGGACAAGCAACGGGAGCTCACTCCGTCGCGTGGATTCGATCTTACGACTGCTGGTCTTTTGACCTTGCAGCACAGAGGCTTCTGCGGTTTAACCCGCAGCACCAACACGTCCCACGCTACTTTTACTAGTACACTATGGCATAATCCCACTTCCTACTTCTTCTCCCTATATAGCTCATCACTGACAGTGTGGAAAAGGTGAAATGAAACTTTGGCTTTGGTAGTGCTGACATCTATCAACAACAAAACTACTTCACAGTTCTACCAACACTTACATATTTGTTTCTAGTCCTGTCTAGTCCAACTGAGCGATAGATGGGGGAAGATAGTTTCATTGCTTTTAAGGGGCTTAGTCTTAGGTGAGCACAAGATTATTTTTCTCTCTTTGGGAAATCAAATAATGGACGTTCCTTGTGTTTACTTGGGGTGGAAATTAAGAGGGGGGGAAGAGTTTACCTATGTGTCCACATGTTCAGTGAATTTCTTTGCTTTGGGGGATATAGCTTCAACCATAATTTTTTTGCTTAAAACTAAAGGGTCATCCCCACCGCTTGTGAATTTCTCTTCTTTTTTTAAAGTAACAAACACATGGACATCTGTGTTGGAAAAGAAAATCTGTCTTCATCAAATGACTTAACATAAGAAATGTTTTCAAAAGCCACTGCATAAATAACAAAGCAAAAAGCAAGCATCCGAAGTCAACAGAAAGCAGACCAACTCCTCCAAGCCAGTTATCGCACAGATCTCTAAAGAGTTGGAGCCACTAGTTAAGCCTGTCTCTTAAGGAGACCATGCCATGCACACTACTGTTGGTGTGCTACTCAAAGGTTTTTCCCTGGAGAATCTACTTGGAAAGACAATCCTCATTTCTGGAGTTTACAGTTTGACAAGGTTTGAGTTATTTGGTTGCTGTAGGTTTTTTGGGCTGTTTGGCCGTGTTCTGGAGGCTTTTCTCCCTAACGTTTCCCCAGTCTCTGTGGCTGGCCATAGAGACTGGCGAAACGTTAGGGAAAAAAACCCTCCAGAACATGGCCAAACAGCCTGAAAAACCTACAACAACCATCGGATCCTGGCCGTGAAAACCTTCAAGAATACATTTGATTTCTTTGCTTGGTAAAGAAGAAATTACACTGTGTTACCACCTTTTTGCAACATTAGTACAGGATACAACATTGCTGCAGCTAAGAATATGTAAACATGGTTCTTGTCCCCTCTTCAGATAATCAAACAATGGCATCACACAAAGCGTTTTGAATTTTTAAAAAATGTTATTACCACCATCCGCAAATCCTGTTGCAGTAATGATTGGTACAGCCACCATAATCAAACCGCTGCAACTCCAGACATATTTCATTAGGAACTGTTCTAGCATGATGTACCATAAACGTTTGGACAAAATGAGGTTCATTTGATCTGCCAGAGCTTTGTAACTCTTCTGCAGCTGGATCATTTCTACCTAAAGTTAAAACAAAATTAAATATACTGGCACAGTATAATACCTTTGACAGTCAAACATCTGAAAGACATACGCATGTATAAGGAATGCTTTTGATAGATGCTTACAGGCGTAAAGACAAATAAGTTTGCATAACTCCATATGTATGTATATCTGTTTATATACATCAAAATAGATAGACAGAGACACATAGATAAATATCTACAATCAATCAGATAGCTAGCAATAGCTAGAGGTTTCACTGGAACACATCCAAGCAGAGTTTCAGGTGGTATACTGTATTCTGTGTAATTCCGATCACTATTTTAAAAAAAAAGCAAGTTGGGTTGGTTGTCTCCCTGGAGGAAAGATATGCTCCTTATTTATAGACTTCACAGAAGATGCAGAAGCATGTTAAAAGAGATAACCACTTGTGATTCTTTGTGTCAAATCAGAGACCCTTAAGGCAAGGTTTGACATCAGTATGCTAAAATAAAATGAGCTTCCAGAGATCTGATTCAAAATGTAAGAACCAAGACATTTCACAGATGAAAACGGGAGCTACCAAAATGTACCACTGTAAATAATCCTACTTCTGCAAATAATCCACTTTCTATGACAAGTGTACCTACAGAATGTGACAACAAATATGAAGTTTGCAACCTGTACGTATGTGTTCTAGGCAGGGACTGCTTGCATTATATATCTTAAGGGCACACTTTAGAATGTGGCAGTGGCACAAGGTAAAGTACAATATTCCAACTTCCATTTCTGATTGGTAAAAAGGGAACACAGATGTCCTGCTTTATTTGGATATTATGAAGATTTATAAGACAGGGACAAGGTAATAAGAGTACTATTTTTTTACTACATTAGCATCTCACCCTTCCTCCATGGAGCACTGGGGCAGCATTCATAATCCATCCCTATTACTCTCACAACAATTCAATGAAGTTGATTAGGTCAAGAGGTTAACAACCAGGTCAAGGTCATATAGGCAACTTCACAGGACTTCCACAATCGAAGCTCAAACCTCTACTTCTACCCTCCACAACAGAGGGGCCTCCAAGCGTTTTGCACGACAGCTTCCAGGACTCTTGGCCAGGGCCTTGCTGGCTGAAGCTGACAACAAAGTTCAAAACTTCTGGTGGGCACCCAGTTGGAGGCAGTTACACTAACTATTGTCCAGATGAACCTGCCATATATACTTTTTGTACGAGTTGTACTTTTCTTATGCCAATGATACCTCACTGAGAAAAAGGTATGTTTATTTCCAGTATATGAATGATAATGCAGTTATTTTGCAAATTCTAGGATGCAGTTTTCTGACAAGAAAATGTATAAAATGGGTAAAAATGGGGAAATGGTAGGCAAAGTTGAATTATGTTAGGGAAAACTGCTTGCAAAGCTGCATATATTGGGCAAATTTACACATTAAAATGCACATATTATGATAAATACATATAAATTTACACAGACTTTTAAAATGCCCACAAAGCAATGCAGAATCAGGGCCGCATGAAGGCTATAAATGTGAGAAACTCAAAGGAACCAAAATAGGCAGACTTGGCAATCCCTGCAGGTGCTCAGATACTGCCAACTTCCACTGACAGAAGACTTCAAGGGCAGAGAAGCACATCCCAACTTTGCATTTTCATCTTCAATAGAAATACTGAAATTTTAACATGGGATTTCATACATATTCTACCACTCAGCTCAGCTCCTGTGATCACACTATGCAATTATAGCTATATACATTTTGCAACTTCTTAGTCAACATCAGCATAGAACACATACTTTTGGAATGTGCCATGGGGTTTTTAAAAGCACCAGTATTCTGAAACAACAGATACTCACTGTTTATTCTGTGGTACATGTCTGCTTTGGAATAAATGATAATCCTTCAAATATCTAGAAACTGTTTGGCTCAGGGAACTTATGCCAATATACACCAGCATAACATCTGGCCAGATAAACCCAATGTTAACCCAATCATTTAGAGCACGGATAATAACAATACACTTATGGCAAGTACAGATGGTTATGGATCAGGACTACTATTAGTGAATGAATAATCATTTTAGTAACCGCCCCCATCCTCAGCATTGAAACATCAAGTTGTTATTTTATTTCTCCATTAAAATAAACACGAGCAAGTCAATAGCCTAAACATAAATAACCTGAATGTCAATCATAACTTCACAGCTTTGTGGAGTTTGGGTCTCCTTTTAGACTCACAAGCTGCACACCTTACTCAGGCCAGAGTCTAAAGTGCTTTTTTAAAAGAAGCTCAGAATAGTGATTATCATCTCAAAAACAGGAAGCATTGAGAGAAAGAGAATGTTCACAACCCAGCTCAAGCTAGAACTCTTGAAATACTGTACAAGGAAAGCCTTCTTATGGAGCAAATGTTAGGTTTTTCAATCCTACTTTTGTAGGGCAGTGCAATTCTAATGTCTCCCCATTTGACTCTGAGCACTTAATGTGTACCAAATTTCCTGGCAGACGTTACACTTTCAAGTGAGCAAGCCTCTGTTTCTCAAAGATGTAACCCTTCTCTTGGTTTTGCTCCAGAAATAAGGAGCCATACTTTTTATAAGCCATCCCTTCTATTCTCCCTTGAATGTAATGGGAACAAAATTCTGTTCATTCCCAGACAAAAGCAAGTTTTACATCTGATGAAGTGGGCTGCCATTCATTACAGCCAGATAAAACCTATTAGTCTCTAAGGTACTGAAAGACCTTTTATTACATATGTTTGACACCTCTTCATTTTAAAAGGCTCATTCATTTTATGTAACTGTCGTTGTTAGAGCACACTGCCTCCTGACCTGTGCTATTTAAAGACTCTGCAGGGCTGCACTGCTGCTTAGCTGTGCAGAGCAGTATCGAAGGTTGCTCTGCTGTCTAAGGCAGACCAAAGTTTTTTCATCCTGCCATGTGCTGAGGGTAACATTATCAGCACATTGATCAGGGAGAAAGCAAAAGAAGCTGTCTCATGAAAGCAGCTACATGTTTAGAAAAGCAGAAATGATCCCTAAGAAATGCATTCAAATACTGTATAGCCATTAAGACCCAACTCCAGGAGGCAGTGGCAGACAGGAGGGCCTGGCGTGCTCTGGTCCATGGAGTCATGAAGAGTCGGACACGACTTAACGACTAAACAACAACAGCTGAACTCATGGGACTCTGCTGTTCATAAACCATTTTTAAGAAGAAAAATTAGCTAAGTTTATCTGACATTTTAGAGGAGGAAAATGTGTATATCGTTCATTGGGAAAAGGAGTTTTGTGGTGGATCAGGCTTACTGCAATCCTGTATGTTCTTCCTGCATTTACTCCTGTGGTAGTTAAGTGCTACTGAGCTCAATAGAGCTGACTTCTGAGTAGGTGTCTACAAGACTGCACTGTCATTATTAAAAGGACTGGAAGAGAAGGAGACAAGGGGAGCCTCCGAAGGAGCTGTGTTATGTTTTTAAACTGCCTAAAGAGAAACATTAATAGGCTATTGCAGGGCCACTTGATGGGAAGAATAGGGAATGAGAGCCACATAGGGATACCTTTTGTTTTCATTCTGGAGAGATGAATCTTGAAACAATTCTGAAATGTTTCAGAGTTGCAGCAATTAAAACATCCCTTCAAAGTAAACAGAATTTTTTGAAGTAAAGGGGTATTTATACAGTACAGTATGAAGGGATAGCTGATCCATGTCAAGCAGTTACTGCCAACGGCTGCCTTACAAGTTCTCCCGATCTCAAGGGTCTGCTAGTAGACACACAAGGTTCATTGGTAGGATGTGAGCACTTTTTGCTCTTTAAGCCAGCAGAGGCCCATTTACCAACTATTACATGGTAAACAGGCCTGGGTATCAGAGGACTGCAGCTCTCCTGGGGACAGAGGAGGCACCACAGGGAGAGAGGTGTGGAGCATATGCTCCACAGCCCTAGAGAGATGTCAGCCTGCTGCCACACTGGTCTCTATCATTTCAGAGATTTCGGTCTGGCATTTCAGCTGTTCCTCATTCTCTCTCTCTCTCTCTCTCTCTCTCTCTCCCGGCCATCTTACCTTGTGCCCTCTGTAGAAGGCAATCTCCTCCACGTTGGCTATAATTCGCGAGTGGACGTAACGTAGGTAGCCCTTCCGATGGGCTTCCTCAGCCACCAGTTTGCCAAATCTGGGCGAGCAGGCTTTCAGCACCTTGGCAGTGGCATATACGACCAGGCCGGCTAAAAGCGTGGGTCCGATGGGGCTGGCTCCCCTGGACCTGGCCGTCTGGATGAGGGTGTAGGAGGTGAGCACCACATCCAGAATGGGTTTGGTCAAGTTGGAGTAGAGGTGGGCCACCGACTGGGAAAACATCATGATGTCCTCGGTGAGGGACTGGTCCGGGTTGGCGAGCCTGCTGTCCATGTTGATCACCTTGTAGTAGGTCTGGTCGGCGAAGTAGGTCTGGTAGGCATGATCCACCAGGCGGGTGCGGAAGGCTAAGGCCAGCTTGCATTCCAGGTAGCGGATGGCGCTGTTGACGAAAGTGGCCGGGATGGCGATCATGAGCCACTTGATCAGCTTCAAGGCGAAGCTGCGCGGCTTCTTCTCCACGATGCTCTTGACGATCTTGCCGTCCAAACCGGCCACGTAGATGGAGAGGAAGGTCCGGGAGACCAAGGCCACCGAATGGAGGCACAGCCACCCGCTCTCCGGGCTCACCAACTTAGGGAAGAGGATCTTGCGAAGTTCCAGCAGCTGCCGGAAAAATTCCGCATCGGCCGCCGGCGAGGCTTTGCCGGCCGGCAGTCCGGAGCAATCCTGCTTCTGCAGCAGCCGCGCCGCTGCCTCCACCGCCTCCTTCTCCTCCTTGGGAAGATCCCCTCCTGCAGCCCGGCCAGCAACCTGCCGTTGCTGCCGCAGGTCCTTTTTGCAGCCCGCCCGCCTGATCCGTCTGCAGACCAGCGGGCAGAGGAGCTTCAGCCCGTACGCCGCAGCCAGCAAGCACGCCGCCTTCTTCGCCGCCGCGCTCGAC